TACATTAAATATGAAAGAAACTTTGAGAAATAAGTGAAGACTAGACTTTTGTATCACATTGTCTTTAAACATTAGCTTAGTAAATATTTGTAAGCTCTAGCCAATGTTATTTATATAGTAAACAACATAAATTGTCTTATCTCTCTATCTTCAATTAAAACATTCACATTGATGCTAATAAGACACAAAAAAGAAAAAGAAAAAAACAAATGTAGCAGCAGAGCAGGAACTCACAAGCTTGATGGCAACTTCTTCATGTGTTTGAATATGAGTACCTAAAAGAAAACAACATTACAATATGTTAGGGGTGGTTGAGAACATGCCAAGGATTGAAACAAAAGGGATTTGAGTAAAAGAGGAACCGAGATAGATCTCTCCAAAAGAACCGCTTCCTATTTTGCGTCCCATTCGAAACTTCTTTCCCACGCGAGCCTCCATCGATGCCAAAGCCCTAACGTAACTCCAATGAAAATCTCAACCCCAACGCTGACTCAAAAAGGGAAATTTTTATCCTCTATCCAAAAGAAAAAAAAATGTTATCATTAAAAAAAAAATGTATCATTTAGAAACCCTTTGATCAACGGATTCAGCAGCACAAACCCAAAACTATCTCCTTGAATGAAACAAGGGAAGATCCAAATTCTACGAAATTAGGGCTGGGGGAAACATAGAAAACAAGGAAGCTTTGGTTGATGGGAAGAGAAGGAAGGAATGTCTTGCTGTTTCTCAATGTTTTGGTCTTTTTTCCTTTTCTCTTCTCTTTCTTTCTTTCTTTCTTGTTTGCCTACCCGGTTCCAATTATCTCAGTTCGATTTAAACCGGAGAACCGGTTAATAATGCTCCGTTAAGCACTGGCTAGACGATACATTTATTAAAATTCAAGCGAATGAGTAAAGTATAGGATACCATTATATCACCATTTTGAATTTTCAACTCATATAAGTTACGTATGATCCATGTCGGTTCTTTGATTTTTTTTTCCGGTTTACTTGGATATCTGAACGTACATCACGCGTGGAGTGAAAAAAAGAACGTTTTTAAAAAAAGAATTAAATAATTTGGAGTGGCTACGCGAGAGAAAGGGGTCGCCAAACGTGAGAGCTACGGTCCCGTTGGGTGAGCGGTAAAGGTCGTTTGCCACGTGACTTACGTCCAATCTATAGATTATTTAAAAGAGTCGATGCATAATTCATTTTCTTCCTCCGTTTTTTGACTTTACTGATCTGAGATTTAAATTGTTGTGAAGTGGTCGGTCGAATTTAATAACTTCTTTTGATATTAATATATATGATTTGAACAAAAATCATGATATTAAAATGGATGTTACAAAATAAATAAAAAAAGTTACATGTTATATAACTGTAAACGGTAAAACTAAACTATTTTGAACTTTTAATGGGGACAAGTTGTACCCTAACTAAATAATCATCCAAGATCACGGAAGGAAAAAAAATTGAATGATATCAAACAATAATAAAAAGTTGGAAAATCAATTCTTTGGACTTGGAAGACCCATGCAAAACAGCCTAGGAGAGACACGAATCTTTGGACTGGGTCTTGGTGAAGGTATCGGACCAAATAATCCCATCGTCATGTTAACCACACGAGGAGAAAGGTTAACTTGCTCAAGTGCTCGAGTCTGCAAGTCCATGGGGTAGTCTCGGACACACCCAATCCTAGGCCCATTCCCGGTACTCCACTTGCATGGGAAGCGTGTCTGTTCCCTGAAGTCATCCACCTCCGTCGCCACATTAATCGTGGCGCCCTTAGTTTCATCTCCACCGTCAGATATCGACGGCTTAGTGCTTCCATCTTTGGAGACCATATAATTATCATCGTCAATCGCATTTAGCTGAAAACAAAATGTAACCGTTAATAAACTATCTAGTTAAGCTATAGTTTTGACTTTAACCATCATATGATGAAACTGAAAAAATAATATATGTAACCATCGATAAACTATGTAATATGTAACCATCACATGATGAGAAACTGTTATCATATTTTAAATTATTTTACCTTGACGTTGGTGAGATCCACATGGTTTTCTCTCAAGAAATCGATAAATTCTCGAAAATTCTCTTCTGTTGGAAGATAATGACCACTGTAGGGCCACACAGCTTCTAAAACTCCGTCGTGTGAGACAATTCTACCGGCGGCAATGATGGCAGCACCGGAGAGAAAACTCGAATGCTGAAACCGGCCTTTTTGTTTCTGACCAATGTATAATTTTCTTGCCGTGCTCAACACGAAAATCCATTTGGTTCCTTCTATGGTCTCAATGAAGTTCTTGTTTTGTCGGTTGACTAGTCTCCCTCCTTCCACTACAACTTCGTACGCTTGTCTTTCTTTCTGTCAACATAGCCGATTCAAACCAGAACTAAAATCAGATTTGGTTAGTAATAACCTGAATTAACCGAATAACAATGAATACATACCGGACCAAGGTAAGTGATGCATTGGCGTTGAAGAAGAGTTCTTGGACATTTGGTGAGATTCACTTCTTTGCCATCTCCAATGTCTAACCTTTAAAACCATTCAGAAGTTTTGATATCGAATCAGCTCAACTAATTGAGTAAATAAAAACGAAATAAATATCTTTGACTGAGTTTGTGTTAAATTTTCCAGAAGAAAAATGGCTGAGTACTTTCACTTTCTGACCAGACATCATAGTATAGGTGTAAATTATGTCCGTACCGATGACGTGGGTCAATCTATATTCCAAAAAAAACATTATTATATATCAAAGTATACTATCCATAATCCACATACTAAAGCTTATTAAATAAAGCCGAAACTTACGGCTTCTAACCAATGTCGCAATGCTAGCTTCTGGGCTTTATCATCTTTCAATAATCCCTTCCCTAACTATAAGACATAGGCACTATCAAATTATGATTATAATGTATGATATATATATAATTAATTAATTATGTGTAAAAGGTTCATGTATGTATGTACACTTTCATAGTAAATTTACCTTTGCTGCTTTTGTTCCAGCTCTTGCCCACCTCGACACAGCCGTCTCTGTTTTTTGGTTAGTACGGTTCGGTACCGATGCTGCCAATTCCAATTCTTTCCACCTAAACCAGACACACGTATTATTATTATTATTATTTTTTTTTTTAGTCACACGTATTATTATTTCATATAAAAATATCCGGTTTGTGTAAAGACGAACCTTTTAAAAAACTTTGGACTAAGAACTTTAGTCAAAATGTAAAATTCCCCAATGTAAATGTTTTCAACTTTTAAACATTTTTCTAATAAAAATTGGATTGACAAATGCATTTTTCATAGAATATTATAACTTTGACGTACCATAATTCTTCAACAACAACTGCACAGTCAGCAAGATTTCGACGCGTTCGATAACTCTTGTAAACCTTTTGTAACGTCACGGCGGCAGCGTCAAGCTCCGTCGACGGCCTAGGAGACCAGAACGGCTTCGGTGCAGGTACACTTAACGCCGTTAGATTCCCTATGATTCCCATTTTACCCTTGTTCCTTCGTTTAAGAGGCGAGCCTCTTTCGTCGTCGTCTTCTTCTATGTTCTCTACTTGGACTAGACTCGTGAAGGAGAGACTCCTCTCAAGAATCATGTTATCCGGTTTAGGACCCTTCAAGTTTATACCTTTTCTCGTTTTGACCCCGAAACTCTCATCTTTGTATTGGTTCCCCTGGTCAACCAAATTCTTGAAGGATAGAGTCTTCTCAAGAAACATGTTTACTGGGTTATTCAGAACTCTCGGTGTTTCACATTCTTGTGAATCTTTCTTGAAACTGTTGTCTCTTTGTAAGTAACCAAAAGATAAAGCCATTAAAACTACCTGTAAAATTTAAAGGAAATGATTCAGACAAGAGATGAAAATAGTTTATGTCGGAATCCAAGGGTTGAGGAAGATCACTTACACTGTTACGATCTTGAGAAGTTTCGTCGAATGTTGTTAACAGAGAGACCTATTCAAGACAAAAGAAGAACTCTGTTTCTGGTTATGTCTCTTCTTTGCCCATCTCTTGTCTATATATATATATTACTTCATTTATATAATTATATTAATCCATATATAAAATATGACGTAGTTATTAGATTTTCTTCAGAACAAGTTTGGGATTGGACCTTAGGATACGCACTGAAGATTTTTCGAAGTCTCAATTCAAAGGTTTTACGTTTTCCTCAAGTTTAGATCATAAATAAATCAAACCACACGAGCTCTTTGATTTTCAATGTAACATAAAATACATACTGGCGTGTGGGGCATCTTTGAATACGTCTTATTATTGGTTAAGATAATCGTACTCACAACTTATCTTCTTCATTTTTATAACACTGTGTTCGAAGTTGTATACATTATATTATACATACTCACATTTGTGAACGTATGTTATATACGCACGGCATTACGTATGGAGCCTGTGGGAGGCATCTTTGAATACTTCGTCAGTTTGATTGTATAAACGTACTCACAACTTATATAATTTTTTTTCAGAAAGAAAAAACTTATATAATTTTTTTGATAATGTTGTTAGAAGTTGTATTTGTATACATTCTCCATATGTGATATACGCACGGCGTTACGTATGACTCGTGGCATCTTTGAATACGTCGTTCTTGGTTATACAATCTTAGCGCCCTCGCAACTTATTATTCAAGAATTTTCTGGTCCGATCATTAACTACCTATTCATTATTTTCTAGATTTTTTTTGTGTTCGGTCAAGAGATTTGTTCTATTTCTATTTTGGATAAACAGTATTAATATCCTTGGTTTGTGTGCGCTGTTTAGTTTTACATTCAAATAAACAGTGTTTTTTTCTTAACAATGTTTTTTGTTTTGGCTAAAATCTCAATGCTATGTTAGACAACTTATGACGTAGATAACTGGATATAACTGTGAGATAAATAATCAAATTGAATTGTTCTCATGTTAGACACCTGTATGTGTAGATCACTGGATATAACTGTGAGATAAAATAATCAAGTTGAATTATTCTCATGTGACCTACTTAGCTGATTATATTTGAAGATTAGACTTTTTTATTTTATTCTACTACCGACGTGATGGTAACAAAATCTATCGATGATGTAGATGTTCCTAAGTTATGTTGAGACTACATTTGCTACAATTTATTCGACTGATTATAACATACTTGGTTATTCTACCTTTTTAAGATATGACTTTATTTATAATGTTGACCAAAAAGCGATATGACTATTTCTAAGAAAAATAATCCGGAATCTAATAATTTACAGATTCAATATCAAAAATAACTGTTGCAAAGTTATATTCGGATGTTACTTCATTTGAGAAGGTAACAGGAAACATATGGTGATTTTCTATACGTAATTACTACTTTAATGCATATAAATACAAACAATTCAACTTTATTTCTATTATATAAAATATCTTGAAACCATTGGGTTGGGTCATAACATTGTAACTAGTAAACGAAACCGTGTAAGAAAATGCATGTCTTCGTGTAGCCTCGTGGGGCAAATTTCTCGTTCTTTAGGTTTAGGGAATTTCACACAATTCAAAATAAAATCTATAGAGAAAACGCGGTGTGAGACACTAAGCATATAGCTGCATATATAATTACAACTTTAAATCATTAGATGACGAATTTGCGATTATGATAGTGCAAAGCCAATAAATATGAATAAAATACATTATGATGAATTGATTTCAGTGGTCCAGCCATCTTTAAATCTTTATAATTTTAATTTATAACACTAGTACTGTACATGAATACAATAAATATTACTATGATTTATGACGGTCAAAGAAAGCAACCATATATGAATGTGATAAAGACAACGAGAGAGCACCAAAACCAGTTCGGGGTCGTAAGGTGTAAATGCATAGTCAACCAATTCGGGTCAAGTCCCTTGGCTTTCCAAAAAGAATTTCTTCTTCTTATTTTTCTACTAAATTGCACAGCGTACGTGTTATTTAGTTCAAAGTTATTGGTGTCTTCATCTCACTTGTTCGCCTTTTACACGACACAAAGCAAATATCTGTTTTGATATATACAATTATCGTATACTATTACATTGATACAGACAAAATTAACATTTTTCTTAATCGGGTGTTATATGATGGTGAAGTCTACCTTTAAGGCTTAAACCCAAAGTATTTAATCGTTATGGGAATAAATATTCTTACTAACAAAACATTATCTAAAAACAGCTGAACTACTGTATTTTGTAAAAGAATATGTTAGTTTTGACTTTTGAATGACAATTCTTTTTATCATTATTAATCCTCAGCATAATATAATATATATATAGTATATTTTACAACTTAAAACATTACTTGATTTCATTGTGTGCATTGAGAAGACTACTCTACTAGAGGCGTAATAAAAGGGTTTTGAGTATAACTTACAACATTGGTCAGCAAGTAAGACCGTAATTACGTGCATTTCAATTTGAATATTCTTGTTTACTTCTCTTTTTTCTTTCTTTTGTTGATCTCTTAAAGGTCTCGCATTGGGGAAAAACTACATAATGCGTTAGCGTGAAGTCTAAAATGTTCCAAACAAAAAATATTCGATGCTATATATACGGAAAATATTAGTTAGCCACATTTTGCGATATCGATTCATACTATGAGTTTGTTTTTAAAATGTTTGTTATATAGAGCATATGATAATAATTCGTCTCTTTTATGGATGCTGGTCACAATTCTCAGAATCTACATCATAAGGTGAGTAAATTATATCGTAAGATCATTCTTACTCTCTGTACGGGCTTGACCAAGACCAAGATTTCAAACTTTGAAATTAAATCTCTGAAATTGTGATAAGTTAGAGACATTCCAAACTTAATCCTTTCTAAAATATAATCTTAAAGAACAAAATGGATATTTTAAAAGTAATAATTCTTTTATGTAAGTCAATCTATTTTTTTAATAATAAAAAATTAATAACATAAACCAAAATATCTTTAATGAATAAAATTTTATTTTCATTTTACTTTTTATTTAAGTTTCCTTTTTATATTTTCTATAGTACCATATATAATATTTTTTTAATAAAATTGAAAAATAAAAATCTAGTTGTTAAAAAATTAACATATACCAAAAATTCTAAAAATAAAATATATTTACACATCTAAGATGAAGAACTAAACTAACACAATGGATACAATTAATTTGATTTGACTGAATTAGATTAGAAATAATTTTACTTTACTTTGAAGGAATAATATACCCACAAAATGAATAACCCGACCATCTTTTTTTTATAACAAAATCAACTAAACAATACTATATTTTTATTTATAGTAATATTTTTATATATCAAAACTATTAAAACAGAGCAAGTTTTATCTATTTGCAAATAGTTCAGGTTAGACCATTTCATTTATTTAATATTTATTTTGCATGCAACAAACTTAGTTATTATTATTTTTTTTTTTTTGAATGAATGTTAAATTTATTCATCAAAAAAACCCTTCTTACATCAAGTGTGTCCTTTATAATAGAGAACCAACCATGAAACTATACAAAAATTTTAAGATAACAAAGCTTTAAACTCTTGTAGAAAACCAATATTGCAGAACCTCCACCCATTCCTTCTTACCACTTGCACGCATGATACTCAACTTATTTCGAATACCCTTGTCCACCATCTTTTTAATAACATTCATTGGCATAGCTTTCTCTCCATGATTGATTCTGTTCCTTACTCTCCAGATTGCATGAATTGCTGCCTGAAAAGCATATCTAATACAGAACTTCTTGGTTTTCTCAAGTCTCTCCTCCTGAATAATGGCCACAATGCTTTCCCAATCATCAGAATAGCTTGCTCCCATAACACCTTTGGTGAGATGCTCCCACAACTGCGAGGAGTAAGCACACTGGAAAAACAAGTGGTTCCTTGTCTCAGGCGCGTTCTTGCACAAAACACAACCCACATCAACACCTTGATTCCACCTCGACATTCGATCCATAGTAGACAAACGGTTCTGCATTGCTAGCCAGGTTATAAATGCAAACTTCGGAGTCGCATATGAAAACCAAACCCCTTTGAACCAACTACAATCCTCCAATGCATTATTCAGCAACAACCAAGTCTCACGAGTTGAAAACTTATTTTTATAACCCAAAGAGCCTTTCCACATTATAGCATCATCCACTCCATGTCTCAACTTCTCCTTAACTACTAAGATATCATCAACAATATCGTTTAAAATAGGATTACGATATCTCCTTCTTCTCCTAACTCGAGAACAAGCTTCCTCCACTGTGGCTTTTCGGACAATTCCCAAGTCAAGAATACCTCTTTCTCCCAATAAACTGATGATAACTCCTCTATCCGACCAGTGATCAAACCAAAAAGAGGCTCTTTTCCCATCACCTATATCCCATTTAATAAAGCATCTAGCAACAGCTCTCAACTTTATCATCTTTTTCCACATCCAAGAGCCAATTTGAGTGTTCTCCTTAATATCCCAAAAACTCTTCTGCTTTAAGAGATTACACTCAATCCATTTTCCCCAAAGAGAAACTCCAGAAAACAACCTCCATATAATCTTTAAAACATTCACTCTATTCACCAATTTAAGATTCCTAACCCCCAATCCCCCTTCCTTTTTAGGTCTGCAAACAGAACTCCAAGAAACCTTAGCAGAATTTGTTTTTAGAGCCGGACCAGACCAAAGGAACGCGCCACACAACTGCTCTATCTCATGAATACATTTACTAGGAAGTAAATACGCTGAGGACCAGAAATTCACCAAACTCATGATCTCTGCTTGAATAAGTTGGAGACGACCAGCGTAAGAGAGAAATCTCCTTGTCCAGCTGCACATTTTATTTCTAATTTTCTCAACCAAAGGAAGGAAATCACATCTTCTCATAGCCTTTGTCATCAGGGGAAGACCCAAATAACGGACAGGAAGCACACCTTTAGCAAATGGAAAATTAGTAAGGATTCTGTTCTCTTCATTTTCCTGAACTCCAGCAAGGTAAATGGTAGACTTCTCAATACTTATTGTCAAACCTGACCATTCTGCAAACTGATCAAACACCGAAAGAGCACCTTGAACCGACGATCTCGACCCTTCCACAAACACCATTAAATCATCCGCGAAACATAAGTGGGTCAGAGAAAGTGACTTACATAAGGGGTGGAACTTAAACTTTCTCAACTCAGCAGCTTCATCAATCTTAAGAGAAAGAGTGTTCATGCAGAGCACAAAGAGATACGGGGAGAGCGAGCACCCTTGACGTAAACCTCTTGAACTCTGAAAATAAC